AGGCTGCCCCCGGCCCCTCTGACCCCAGGGCCTAGCTGCAGGGACGCCCCGGGTGGGCGCGGCCGGGCCTGTAGCCACAGCTGCTTTCAGGGCGGCCCCGGCGCCATTCCCTCCGGCAGCATGCAGGCCGGCCGGCGTTAACCCCGAGAACACGGAGGGCCCCGGCTCAGGGTCTCGGCGGGAGGGGCCGGCTCTGGGGGTCAGTTCGGGGCCCACACCAGCCAATACCGTTAGTGTCCACGCTTGTGACCCTGGGGCGGCACTGCTGTGGCCTTGGGGACAGTCCGATCGTCCACCCGCGTGGGTCTGGTCGCGCGGCTGAGCCCCTGGTGTCCTCCGCAGTGTGGAGAGATGCCAAAGCTGCAGGGCTTCGAGTTCTGGAGCTGCACCCTGGGGGGGGCCCGCCACGTGGTGGCCCCCATGGTGGACCAGAGCGAGCTGGCCTGGAGGCTGCTGAGTCGCCGCCATGGGGCCCAGCTCTGCTACACCCCCATGCTGCACGCCCAGGTCTTCGTCCGCGATGCCAACTACCGGAAGGAGAACCTGTACTGTGAGGTGTGCCCCGAGGACCGGCCCCTCATTGTGCAGGTGAGTGGGCCTCGCCACTAGACACCTGGGAGCCCCTTTTTCTCAGCCCTGATGGGAGGGGAAGGGAGGGGAGGGGGTGGAGGGCCATGGAAGCCAGGTGCACCCGCAGCTACCTTTCTCAGAGTTTGACCCTTTCCTGGGAGCTGGCTCAGACCTTGGCAAGTGGACAGCTTGGCTGCCAGGAAAGATCTGTAGCCCATGACATCCCCCACATGCCGTTTCTCATGCTGCCTTTTTATCAGAACGGTTAGAAAGAATGGCTCTGCTCTCAGCTAAGTCTGGCCTGTTACAGTCGGGAGAAATTCTACAAATCTGGGACCGTGGGGATGTCCCAGCTCTGTGGTTTTGAAAGCTTTTAAGAGAGTCAGCTCCTCGGACCACACCCCCACTGGGTCACATGGGAATGAACCCTTATGGGTGGCCAAGGGACCAGGGCCTGGCTCAGGTTCATGGTGACTGTCTGTCTCTTCCAGTTCTGTGCCAACGACCCAGAGGTGTTTGTCCAGGCGGCACTCCTGGCTCAGGACTACTGTGATGCCATCGACCTGAACTTGGGTTGCCCACAGATGATAGCCAAGCGGGGTGAGTTCAGATCCAGTGGTGTCCAGCAGCCGTAGTCATTTCGGACCAGGGCAAGGCTCCTGGTGGGGACAGGCCCCTCACGTACCCAAGTGCCTGGGAAGTCGTTGGGCTCCTGGATAAATGTGTTTTGCTGCCCGGCTGGTGTGTCTCAGTGGTTGAGCGTAGACCCATGAACCAGGAGGTCAGGGTTTTATTCCTGGTCAGGGCACATGCCTGGCTTGCGGGCTTGATCACCAGTAGGGGGCGTGCAGGAGGCAGCCCATCAATGATTCTCTCTCATCACTGATGTTTCTCTCTTTTCCTCTCTCTGAAATCAATAAAAACTTTTAAAAATACAAACTAAAAAAGACATGTTTTGCTGGCAGGAGGTCCGTGTCACACCCTTGGTCTGCTGCAGCCCCAGTGGCCATTCGCCTTGTTTAGGGCTCAGCCTTTCTTCCTCTAGGGCCTGAGGAGTTGTGGGGGGTCAGAGCCTGCACCAGTTGTGTGGGGTGGGCCTGCCATTCTGTGTCCTTGAGCTTAGGCAGCTGGGCAAACAGCCTCTGAGTCTGACACTGAGAAACTGCTCAGGGGCCGTCTCCCTGGAGACAGCCCCTCAGGGAGGCCCCCATCCAAGGTGCCCTGTGGATGGGTCGCAGCCAGTGCAGGAAGCTCAGGCAGGCCTGTGTGGGTGCGTGAGGAGGACCATGTTTGTCCCTGCAGGTCACTACGGAGCCTTCCTGCAGGAGGAATGGGACCTGCTGCAGAGGATGAGTGAGTCGACCACATGTGGGTGACGGGGCCACGTGTGGTTGGGCGAAGGAGAGAATAGTGGCTGGCAGAGACTTCCCGGGCATGGTGCTCTCCTTGCTGTGGAAGGTGGCTGTGGACAGTTCACCTGTCATGTGCAGGGGGCAGTGTCCTTGCCCAGTCCCAACCCCTCCAATGCCATGGGGGGATGGAGGCAGATCTCTTGGTTGCTGTCAAGTAGGGGTGTCTGTGCAGGGCCTGTGCTCCTTTGGGGGCTTAGTTCTGGGTCCCCACCGCCTGCCCGAGGGTGAGCACCACAGTTCTTGGAAGCTGACTCTCCTTTTCCCCAGTTCAGCTGGCCCACGAGAAACTCTCTGTCCCGGTAACGTGCAAAATCCGAGTCTTCCCAGAGATTGATAAGACGGTGAGGTACGCCCAGATGCTGGAGAAGGCTGGCTGCCAGGTGAGGGGCCGTGGGCTGGCAGGGCTCTTCATGCACTGAGCTGGGCCTGGGGGCTGGGGGGCCCTGCTCCCAGGTGTGTCCCTGGAGCAGCTTACCCTCTGGGAGTGGACAGGGGTCTCGGTGACCTTGAGGCGAGGCCCGATGAGGGGGGGTGAGCCCTGTTCTAATCTGCATGAGGGAGGCTAGCACTAGGCGGGGGAGGCTTGAGGCTTTCTCTCCACCCCCCACCAGCCCTGGGGTCAGGTGGGTACCCATCCCTCCCTCATGTCTTTGGCTTTGGGCAGTGGGGTTGCTGCTAACTCCAGGAGGCATGAACGGGACTCACCTGCACTCTGGAGCCCGGGGTCTGGGGGAGGGGAGGGCAGGGACTGAGAGAGCCGGGTCCAGGGCAACCTTTCCTCCTCTCTGCATGGAGGCTGATGCCCAGAAGCCAAAGGGAGAGGATCCCCTGGGGTCAGTTTGGGGGCTGAGCTGGCATTGCTGTGTCCTAGCTGCTGACGGTGCACGGGCGCACCAAGGAGCAGAAGGGGCCTCTGTCAGGCACCGCGTCCTGGGAGCACATCAGGGCCGTGCGGTGAGTGGGGTGGGGGCATCCCGGCCCTGAGACGGGCCCTCAGCTCTCTAGGCGACGGGGGAGAGAAGCGCCTGCGGAGGAGCCTGGCGTCTGTACACTGCCCTGGGGTTAGGGACAGCTGCATTCCTCTCTCCTGAGCGCCCCTCCTGCTCCCTAACAGGAAGGCCGTGTCTATCCCTGTGTTTGCCAATGGGAACATCCAGTGCTTGCGGGACGTGGAGCGCTGCCTCCGGGACACAGGGGTGCAGGGGGTCATGAGTGCAGGTGAGGCTGTGCCACTGCCACAGCGGAGGGAGGGGTGTCCAGCTGAATGGCCTCAGGCCTCCTGCTGTCCTCACTCAGCCCCTGCCAGTGGCAGCCTTGCCCTTAGTGAGATGGGGGTGGGGGTGGGGGTTACCCTGTAGGGACATGAGCGGCCTCAGCTATGAGCCCCCTTCCCCTCCCCACAGAGGGCAACCTGCACAACCCTGCCCTGTTTGAGGGCCGCAGCCCTGCCGTGTGGGAGCTGGCGGAGGAGTACCTGGACCTTGTGCGCCAGCACCCCTGCCCCCTGTCCTACGTCCGGGCCCACCTCTTCAAGCTGTGGCACCACACGTAAGTTGCTCCCCCCCCCAGGCAAGTGCCGTGAGATCTGGACCCTGCATGGGGCGTTGGGGGTTTTAAGATGACGTCTCCAAAAACATTTACCAAGATTGTTTGCCACCAAGTCAGGTCTTGAAGGGCCAGGTGACGGTGAGGTCATTCTGGAAGCCTGGGTGGGGAGAGAGAGGCAGCTCCCTCTGCCCTGGGCTCAGGGCCAGCGGTTGGAGCTGGGTGGTGGGTCCACAGTGACAGGCATTTGTCTCAGGCTGCAGGTGCACCAGCAGCTTCGAGAGGAGCTCGCCAAAGTGAAGACCCTGGAGGGCATCACTGCTGTGAGCCAGGAGCTGAAGCTGCGGTGTCAGGCAGGTGCTGGGCTGGGAGCCGCCCAGGGCATCAGTGGGGCCTGGCTGGTGACCGAGGGCCCCTGGACTTTTGCAGGAGGACATGTCCCGGCAGAAGGAAGGGGAGGAGCCCCCGGGTGGCCTGCCTTTTTTCCACTGGATCTGCCAGCCCTACTTCCGACCAGGGTGAGCACCCAAGGGTGTGGGCGGGGTACACGGGAGGGTCAGGGAGGGTGAAGCCCTCTTGGCCCCATCCCTCCAGGTGCCCAGCTCGTCTCCCCTATTTGTGGATGCTTAGGTTTCAAATCTTTTTTTCCCTCTGATCCTGGGTGGGTTTCCTCTGGGTCTCACCTACGGCCACAGCCCTGCCTGGGGCTCAGTGGCTCAGGCCCTGAAGTCCCAGTGTCCCGACCTCTGCGCTGGCCCAGCCCTGCGGCCCGAGAGCTGAGCAGCTGGGACCTCGGCTGGCGGGTGGCCTCTCATGGGTGTCCCCCAGCTCTGTCCACTGCCCTTCCCTTCCAGGCCCAAGGAGGGGAGCAAGGAGAATGGGGGTGCGCGCAGTAAGCGGGCCCTGGAGGAGGAGGAGGGCAGCGTGGACGTCCTGTCCAAGAACAAGCAGAAGAAGCAGCTGAGGAACCCCCACAAGACCTTTGACCCCTCACTGAAGCGTAAGCTGCTGCAGCTGCCGCCTTGAGGCAGGGGAGAGGCCTGGGGTTTGGGGCTGCCTTCCTGAGGGAGTGAGAGGTGCAGCTTCGGCTGCAGAGTCCGAGCCCTCGGGGTGGGATGAGGGCCCTGGAGGTCCTGGGGGTTCTGGACCCCAAGTCTGCTGTATCTCCTGCCCTCCCCCAAGCGGCCTTGCTGGCCACAGCAAGCAGGGATGCCTGCTAAGCTTCACGTGGGGACAGCCACAGTGGGGCAGGCTCACCTTGTTCACCCAGGACCTTGTGTTCTTTCCCAGCAAAATACGCAAAGTGTGACCAGTGTGGAAACCCAAAGGTGAGCTGGCCCTTCTACAAGGTTGCCCGGGCAGTGCTCCGCCCTAGGGGTGGTGGGCAGAGTGGATCCTGCTGACTCCATCTCAGGGTCCCTGAGCTCCAGCCCACTCAGGCACAGGCTCACTGGCTTTCCTGTGTCCAGGGCAACAGGTGTGTGTTCAACCTATGCCGGGGCTGCTGCAAGAAGCGAGCTTTCAAAGAGACCGCGGACTGCCCAGGTGAGGGGTGCCTTTCACCCTCACCCCCGTCCCTGACCCCGTGGGCAGTGGGACCCTTGGCCTCCAGAGCCCCATTTCCTCCCTAACTCTCTCTGCCAGGTCACGGATTGCTTTTTAAAACCAAACTGGAGAAGTCTCAGGCCTGGAAGGGGACCCAGTCCCGGCTGCAGGAGCCTCAGCAGGCGGGGCCTGGGGACCCAGGTGGCTTCCCTGAGGTTGTGGGCAGCGCCCTGGCCTGAAGGGCCAACAGAGGCTGATGCACCCCTCTCCGGGCCCAGGACTGCCACTGAAGCCTCCCAGTCCCCTTAAGGAGACACCTTTACTCAGGGAACCTCCTGCTCCTTCACGTGGAAGGATGAGCTCACGGTCCCCTAGGCCATGCTGGGCCCAGAGTGCTGCACCAGCGAGAAGGCTCCAGGCTGGACCTGCCCTGTCCTCGCACCCATGTGTGTTCAAAGTGAACAATAAATCTCTTCAGAGATACGCAGAGCTGGCCAGTGATGCCCAGGCCGGTGATACCCCTGACCACAGCCACACACTGGGAGAAATGAGCCCTGGAAACCAGGGAAATAGGCAGAGACCCTCTTGCCTTGACCCATGTCAGCCACAGAGACCAGGGCCAGTGCAGGTGACAGCTCAGCACCACACAGGTTGGGGGTCCTGCTGCCTCAGTGTGAGAGGCCCAGGAGACAAGGGCTAGGCCCCCCCAAAGCCCAACCCCAGGGAGCTGACCAAAGGAGGAGCAGTTCGAGGGGTGTGTTCTCAGGCTGCCTTTTAATGCACTAAGATTCACAACTGTCTGCAATCCCAGACAATGTGGGAGCAGGGAAGCTGGAAGGTAGTGCCACAGGTAGGCCCTGCAGGCCTCTCCTTCCAGGCAGCCCACCTCCTCCCTGGGGCACAGATGGGGGAGGGCAGAGACAAGGGGCACACGGAAGCCCAGGCAGGGGGCCAAGGGCTGGAACCCACAGGCAGGTCTTTTGCAAGCGGGCCATAGGGGGCACCTCCGGAAGTGCTGGGAGCAGGTGGGCCCAGGTGTCCAAGTCTGAGGGGTGGGGGTGGGGCGTGTGGCTCTTCCTGGAGGCGTACAGACGGGCAGCCTCACATGTTGGTGCTCATCCGTGACTGGCTGTTGGCTGGCGTCAGCTCCCCCTGGCTCCCTTCTCTGGGAGGGGACTGCAATGGAGACAAGGCCATTGGCCCAGGGTCTGTGTGTGTGCCTGTCTGCCCCCTGCCCCGCCCAGTGCGGCCGGGCCCCCACCTTAACGTGGATCTGGTTGCGCAGCACAGCCGCCCGCAGGATCATGGCTTTGGCACGTCGCTGGAACTCCTTGCCCATGAGCAGGGACTTCTCGAAGGTGGTGCTCCGCTGGTCCACGTCCCGGGCATACAGGATCTGCGGAGGTGGCGGGGTCAGTGCAGGTACAGGCACTCCCACACCCCTGCCCTGGCCCAAGCTAGCCACCTTGCTGTGGGAGTCAATGCGGGCATTGATGAGCCCCTCCAGGATGAGCTGCGTCAGCTCGTCCTCCAGCGCGGCCACCGTGGTGTTGAAGGCCGTGGCCATCCTGCGCATGTCGGCCGACACATAGGGGCTGAAATACTGCAGAGCAGAGGGGCATCGGCTGCCACGGCCTCCAGATGCTGCCGTGGCACCCTGCCCCGGCCTACACACCACTACCAGCCTCCCCCTACCTGGATGAGGGCACGGTTGCGAATCTGGGTGTACAGAGTCCTGACGTGGGGGGCCAGGTACATATCCAAGAGCAGATTGTCCTGGCAAGGAGAGCTGGTCAGGGGCCGCTGCTCCTGGCCCTCCGCCCTCACCTGCCCCATGGCCAGACCAGCGCCTCACCTTCATCTCATCCAGCATCTTCAGGCAGGAGGCGTACTTGGACTCGTAGAACTTGAAGATGATGTCTCGGACCTGGGGCTCCAGCTCCAAGAACAGCTTGAAGGAGCTGCAGGGGCCACACTCCTCAGAGCTGCCCTGTGCCCACCCTGCACCCACCCTGGAGGAAGGTCCCACAGGGCCCCCCACCCCCGCATACCTGCTGGAGATGACATTGCGCTGCAGCTCCTGGCGGTCAAAGGTGGCCAAGGCGCACAGGCCGCCGTACACGGCCACGTTGCTGGGGGACAGCAGCTGAGGGGCAGAGACCTGGGATCACTGCTGGTCTGGACAGAAGCCAGGGAGGATGCCCAGAGCTGGCTTCCTCCCCAACCTCCACCCAGACTGCCTAGGTCCCCACTGGGAGGACCCCCAAGAAAGAGCCCAACCATGAGCCCTCCCTGCTTCCAGGTCCCAGCCAGAGCTCCTCCCTGATGCCCACCCCCCTCACCTCTGGGAAGTCACAGTGGTCGAAGGAGGCCAGCAGGAAGCACTTGGCTGCCTGTTTGTATTTTCGTGCAGCCAGCTCCGCCAGCCCTGGTGGGAGGGAAGGGTGAGGCCCAGCCTGCTCCAGGGTGCCTCAGCCTCAGGGACCAATGTTCTGGTTACAGAGCCCAGTGACAGCCAAGAGCACCCACTTGGTGCCCTCCACGGGTTAGGCACCCAAGCAGCCAGCACAGCTGCCGTTACTGCCGCAGAGGACTCGCAGGGGAGGGACTGGCCCTGACAGTGACTGTCAGAGGCAACGTCTGACTGGTCACACAGTGGCCTGCACACAGGACCTGAGCCAGGCGGGGGCCACCTGTGGGTGTGGGGTTCAAGGGTCTGTCCCAGCTGTGAGGACGCAACAGTGCAATGCACACAGGCCACCCACAGTGGAAGCAGCACGAGGTTGGCTGTGGTGCCTCCCCCGCCCTGGGCCCCAGGGCCCTCACCTGCAGCACACTTGAGCTTGGTGAGAATGCCCTGGGTCTGGTTGTCCCGCTCCCCACGCTGCTGCAGGGGGAAGGCGGCACATGTGAGCCTCTTGTGCTCTCCATACCCTCCCCAATTGCCAGGAAGACCCCAGCCCCAGCCTGTGGACTGTAAAGGCAGAGAAAAGGACAAGGCCCACTGGGGCCAGCAGTGATCAGAGGAGGTGGGCAGGGTGCAAGTTACCTCAGCAATCTCCGGGGTGGACTCAGCCTTGCTGACGTAACTCAGCACATGAGACCAATTCTGCAAGTAGACGCTAACCTGGTGGGCAGGTGGGGGACAGGCTCAGCTGAGGTGCCCCCTCCAGGCCTCGGGTGTAGCTGCCCCCACCTGCACCTTTGCCCGCCCACCTCAGGGCCCACCTTAATGACATTGAGGCACATATTGATGACGTGCTTGGCGCTGGTGCAGTAGTCCCGGGCGCGGGAGTAACACTTGAGGGCATTGCTGAGGTCCCCACAGTCGAGGTAGTGGTCACCCAGGTCGTCATGGCCACGCCTGTGGGCAGGCTATGAGTGGACAGCCCAGTGTGGGCCTGGCCATCCCCACCATCCCCTCCCCATCCCACCCTGGGTGGCACCTGATGCTCTCCTTGATGGAGTTGCCCTTGTAGTTCTTCAGGTCCGTGTCCAGCTTCTCCAACTTCAGCAGGGCCTTCTTCCGAGTGGCCTCCACCCAGGCCGTGTCCAGGGGTGGGGGCTCCACCCCACTCTCGGGGATGGCATCCGGGGCACTCTGCAGGTCCCTGAGGGCAGACCTGGCCATCAGGGCTGATGTGCCAGCAGAAGGGCACCTCCCAGGAACCCCTGCTGGGCCACAGCTTCTGGTGGGAGAACCTGGTCGGCAAGCGACACGGGCAGTGTCGGGGGTGACCAACAGGAAACGTGCTGTGGCCAAGCTGAGAGCAGAGAAGCGTTAGTCTGCACAAGCTTTGCTCAGCGTCAGAATGATGGCATGAGCACAGGTGTGCAGGAAAAGCCTGAATTCTAAATTATCCCAGCCCGTTCTGCCGTTCGCAGCTCCTCCTGGCTTTTCCACAAGGGTGGGCAGGACACTGTGCTGTGCAGGGGCTGCTGCAGTGACAGAGCAGGGGTGGGGCTGGAGTCACAGCAGCATAGGTGGGGACACAGTGGAACTGGCCCCCTCCTCGGCCAAGGCCCTGGCCTCACCTGGTGGCCTCCGAGAGCTTCCGGTGGATCTCCTCGTACACGTCCACATTGAAGGTCCTCTGCACGAAGGACAAGGCCATCTTCAGGGCCTCCACCCGCAGCGGGGGACAGTGGTCAGCAATGAACTGCAGCCGCTCGATGCGCATCAGGCCGCTGTAGCTGGCCGCATACTGCTCCAGGTCCTGGGGGAGGGGGAGACCGTGCATGGTGGGAACTGGGGTGCCAGGCCCCCGCCATGAGTCAGGAGCAGCGGCCGGAATGCTGACCCTTCCGGTGTCTGAGGCTGGGAAGGGTGGTCGGTGCGGGAGCGTCCGGAGCAGAGCCATGCCCGGGAGGAAGGGCTGGAAGATTCAATGTGCAGGTGGCCCGGGACACGGCCATCCCACACGGGGAGAAGTGGGGTGCAGGGTCCCCAGCTAACAACCCATCACAAGTGGGCCCTTGGACAGCCACAGCCCTGGCACCCCCAGGAGGGCTCCTACCAGGGTGGGGTTTTCCACCACGTAGTTGACATCGGGTGCGTTCTGCGGGTCCTCCTGGGGGTCCACGTCGATCTGCATGGGCTCCACCGCGCCCTGCAACACGGGGCCTCGTCACCTCGCGCGGGGGCCTGCCCGCGGCGGGCAGAGACCCTCGCTGCGCCCTAAGCTCCGCTGCCAGCCCCCCCGCCCCGGCCCCAGCACCGCCCGTCAGGAGGGCTCCTCGTAGGACGACTCCAGCCGCCCGTCTTCGGAGCGGGGCAGCCCC